GTCTTGTGCTAATGGATCGTTGCCGTCCTGTCGCGCAAGAGGATTCGGCAGGACTAGGGGGGCGGCAAGCGGCAGGAAGCAGCAGGTGGTGACTGCCTCGTCCCAGCCTAAGCTTGGGTGTTTTGATATTGGAATGAATGGGACACTGGCCCGGGAAGGAACGGCTCTGCCTGGGTGCGTGGTGTAACAAGTGGGCGAACCGAATCGAATGGTCTCACCGCCCACGATGGTGGTGCGAATCGAATTTCAATTCCTGGGCATAGATTATGAGAAAGAGAATGTTGGAAGGGCAGGGCGGTGGCTTGTCCTGTTGGCCCTCTCATCGAGACACCGCGACTGAGGGCGTCTCTTAGTCAGACGACCTCGAGCCCGGGCCGGGTGACGGACCTAGATTCGGGAGAGTTTGGACGAAAGGTTCCATGCTACACTAGGTATACCACACTGCACTACACTACCTACACTACACTACACTACACTACATAACTGCGTCAAGGTTGGCAAGATGGGACAAGGTCCTCGAACGCCTCCTCCCTGGTCGGTACTCATGGCTTGCGACTAGCACCAAGACGGTCTCCCCCCCATATGATACCGGTGTCTCATGGCGGTAGGTCCGTCGACCTGCACACCACCGGGGAAGAAGGGACGAATCTGTCTGACAGTTGCGCAAGCCGCCGCCGCCACCTCACTTGCATCATACCACCTGCCTAGATCGACACAACGGGAAAATGTCGCCGTTTGATCGTGCATGGAGATACCTGCCTGGATACGTACGATGCATACCCACCTATAGTACCTATACGCATGGCCGACAGTCTGTCGTGATGGAGGGGGGCGGCCGTTGCAACCAAGGAATGAATGAGACAAGCCACAGGCAAGAGTGGCAGAGGAACATGCTCGATTCAACGGAGAAGCCCGCGGTTGAGGCTTCCGGTCAAGCGGCCCGAGACCCAAGGTTGTCGCGAATCGACATTGGACAAACAGAAGTGACCGAGCAAGAAGATGAGGCGGAATAAAGTATCCGGCTCAATGGCATGTATTCTAATTGAAGCGGACCGCTCAATGACCAGTCCACTCGACCTGTCAAGAAACGAAAGGGAGGACGGAATGCGGATGCCTGTAGTTGAATTGATAAGTCCCAGAGTAATTTCCCCTACATCCGAACAGACGTACGTGGGGAGAGACAACCCGAGGAAGGAGGAGACGTGGGAGGCAGTGGGCCACATGCTGTAGGCGGCGACAGCTGGTGGATCCGCCCCAGGGTTCAGCTTAGGTGTATCCGTACCTGTATCCGTACATACATGGTAGTAGGCACGCCTCTACCCAGTGCACGTGCCTCAGAGGTGCTCTGTACTTGGATCTTTGGGCAATATTGTGGGAATATGAGTGCAAAGACAAGTACCGAGTACACTAGGTAGCGGCGACGTGAGGGAAAGCGTGGGTTGGTCGTGGAGGGAGGAGTGTACAGGGGGTAAGCTATTGATGCAGGGGCGACTCGGAAATAGGCTTTGCCTATTTAGGCGATCGACGACCAGGCTCATGCTGGATCGGGAAGAAGATAACCGATCAAAGAAGTCGACCAATCGGCAGGTCAGGGCGTGTGTTTGTTTGCTCGCACTCTGGGCTGCTCAACTACGTCAATTTCCTCTCTCCAGTATTCGAACCTATCTACGGAGTACCAAGCCCACATTCGTACTTTGTGGCCTTGGCAAGACCACCACCACCGCCTATCCGTTTGTTTGTCTGTCTGTCTTCGCATCTGTTCCTTGCATGTACGGTGAGGGCTCAACTCAACTCCCTCAGCACCAACGCTATCGCCTGCATCCATGAAGCTTTAACCTTGAAAACAGCCGCCGTTCGACCATGACCGCCAGAGCCCGAACAGCCCGCGGTCAGATATTGAGTAGCGCGCCACCGTGCTAACTCTATCTTGCACACCCTGAACACAATGCCGCACTGCAGGGGGCATCACATCTGTATACACTACCTATGACATGACTTTCGCAGTCGTCAACACAATCACCGGTCCAGGTGAGCTATCCAAACCAAGATTGCCATCGGCCGCAGTCCCGCACTTGATATCCGTCGACGTCTGCCATGCACCCCCCGCCTCAACGGCGAAACCGTGTCCTGCATCTATTCAAGTCATTCGAACGCCCAAAGACAAATACCCTTAGTCAGGTTGGCCCGAGCCCATGCCATAACAAATAAATGCTACAGTGAACTTGCCGGCAAGTCTTTCTTTGTTCACTTCTGCGCGGCGAATGCCGTCTTACCTTCAACTCAACCGAATAGACGATGCTCTTGTTACACCGGCGGCAGCAGTTGGCACAGGCTACCTACAGGTATTGCGAATCTGTAACCAGCTAGCTACATTGTTATATGTTCGGTTCCTGACCAGTTGCTGACCAGGATGATTCTGGACCACAGGCTGAAAGGACGGGTACCTCGGCAGGGTGCAATCCAACGTTACATGACATGGACGTTGCGGAATCCTTCGACAGGTCTTCTTCCGAGGTTACGAAGCTTGTTCCACCACCCAAATCCCCTGGTGGCGGGCTCCCACCAATTGAGCGAACCAGCTCTTTTCCTTCCTCCGACTTCGCAAATGTGGCCGGCCACAGGCCCGCAAAGGCATGCAACTATGCTTTCTTTGCAAAATCCCATCCATCACAGAAGTCATATCGGCCAGCCTTGATTAGAGCCATTGGGCTCTCCATTTCCCCAGCTGGAAGGGACGGGCCATTCGATTGTCCAGATTCACAGCGCTGCGCCTCTGGGGTTATACCGTGCCCTTGGATCATCGACAAGGGCCCAGACAACTTGCTCCCAAGGCTGAACCACCTGTGTGCAAGTAGCTCCGCAGATCCCATCTCGTCATTGTCGTCCTAAGCCCGTCCCTGTAGCAACGAGTCATACTAGTCATCATAGAGAGCGGTGAAGGGCGTGAAACGGGCTAGAAGCTGTCTTTATTGCACTGCAGAATACCTGAATTGTCGAGGCGGCCCTAGCCTCCCCTTGGTCATGTTTTGTTCTACAGTGATTTGCGGCAACCGCAACATCCGTCCTTTGTGCTTCCACCTCTGCAAAGACACTATTCGTCTGGCTAACTTAACATATGCCCATGCAGCTCTCGTTTCGTTTGTGCGGACGCGACGCGATGCGACAAGCAGGGCTCCAAGAAATAGAGCGTGGGGATACCCTCTTCTCCGCCAAAGCCGCGTTCTCTCAGAGCCGCCGGAGTATCACACTTGTCACCCGTGCAGATCCAAGTTTCCCCACCAGCCTGTGCTTCATCCCCAAGGTCCGTGTTGGTTCTGCTTGGTTCGCTCAGGGGTTAAGAGGTTCCGACTGCCTAGAAACTTCCGCTTTCGATTCCAAGCTTGTGTCAAGCTGTCAACTAACCCAACATTCCGAGCGTTCTAGAGGCTTGTGCTTCGGCTGGCTCGTCGCCCTACCCCTATTCCGTGCCTCGAGCGACGGGCCTCAAAATGCCTGTAGCCTCCCGATGTTTTACTGGGAAGCCGTCCAGAACGGCCTGCGCAGGCATGGCCAGGTCCGTCTTGCCCGCCTTGCGGCTCTTATCTTATTCAAACCAGTCAAAAGACGATATGCTAAAATAGTGTCGGGACACCGCCGGGAATATTTAGGGATCACGGGTACTCGCACAGACTGGCGAAGCAAACAAGCCACTCATTTCCTGCCGCTGGATGTTCTCGAGTGATTCGGGTTCCCACGCAGCCACCGGATTTCAGGTGGTACAAGGTGGTCCAAGGGAGGTCATGGGCACAGTCGAAGGAAGACCTTCCGCCGTCCGCAGTCGGGCGCCAGGCAAGGCCCAAGGGACGAGCGGTCGATCGGTTCCTTCTGTCACGTTTCGAGCACAGGCGGATCTGAGATGTCAATGGCAGGGTCCCCGGCTGGATTTGGCTCTTACAATGTTTGTTTTCCTGCACCCTCGACGTTGCGCGTGGCCGCTCAGGCAAAGAGTATCCTCACTGCCCTGGAACGCACTACTGGGTTCTTTCTAGCGCGCTCTAGGGAGGAATGATGCTGGCCGGAGAATAACACTCTAGCGTTGGAATGACGAGCCCCAGCAGCCCGAGCACGTTGTTTGTTTGTTGCCTGCAGTGACTCTCATCCTTAGACGGTGCCGACATCAATGATGCCTCCTCTCCCGGCGGCCTCCAACCGCTACAATTATCCAGAACCCTCCCCGCATGAGTTCACGACTCCTCTCAACTGTAAATATGGCGCGCAGGAGCGCCGGTCATGTGAACAGATGCCACACGGCTTTTTGTGTCTCCTCCGGTGCCGTCACAAGCGATGGCTGACTCTTTGCTCCGCGGCGCATGTCTCGATGAACCCCCCCCACCGGAGGCGTGCAAGCTCGTACCGAGACATCATTAGCCAGACAAACGCCCAACATCTGACTCCAGATATGTCCAGGACGGCATCGGGGAAATTGTAGGCAACCGGCCGGGGTCGGATGGCAAGCCTCCACCATTTGACGGGGGCATGCTGGCTGGCGTACATCCCGCCCCCCCCCTCTCCGCTTCTCAGAGCTCCCTTGGGGCGAAGCCTGCATTTTCCCATCACGAACCCCCTAGCTAGCTCGGGTATATGGAAACGATGTGAAGGCCATGTTAATAAAGTTGGCCGAAACCCGAAGAGGAGGAGTAATTCGTTGGGCCGGGGAGACGACGACGGGTCGTAGTCTCCCGCTGTTTGGATTAGAGATGTAGAAGATTTGAGTGAGTAATGGGACAGGCCAGAAAGCCTCATCTACCAGCGACTTCACACAGCTGGCTTTTTTTTTCCCCCTTGGTGACGAAAAAAAGCTGAGCAGTGATGATTTTTTTCTCCCTTTATTGTTTCATTACTTGGTCGATTTGCTGATGTGACGATTCGTGGAGTCCGGGGGGAACCTCCTGATCCCCCCGTGCGGAGCCCTCTCCCACGGCATTATCACGACGTTATTCCTCTCCCAAACGGCCAAGTGCCTAATCGTCCTCCATCAGCGCCGCCAGCTCGGCCTCCTCCTCGGCCGTCATCAGCCCGTCCCCTCCCTCCTTCTTCGCCGGCTCCGCCTGCCCATCCTCCGGGACGGCCTCGGCAGCGGCCCGGATCTCCTCGACGATGGCGTCCAGCCCCCGGCCGTCCAACGGCCACGTCCGCAGCGTGCAGTCGATGGCGACGCTGCACAGCACGTCGGCGGCAGCGCGGCCGGCGGGGTCGCGGAGGACAGCGAGGTCGGTGATCTCGTCAAAGTGGGCGTCCACGACGGCCCGCAGGGCCCCCGACGTGCGGTCCCACACCTTGATCTGCTGGCTGATGCCGGCCGTGACGACCCACTCCCCGGCCAGGGCGATGGCGCGGACGAAGTCGCCGTGCTCGAAGACGTCGTCGGCGGCGAAGGCCCTCTCGCGCAGCAGGCGCTTGGCAGTCCCGTCAGCGCTCGCGGTCCAGAGGTCCACCTCGTCGCCCGCGGCGTCGAAGAGGACCTTGTACACGCTCGTCTCGTGCTCCTGGATCGTGAGCTTCTCCTCGCCAGCCCCGGTCGTCTTCGCCGCCGCATCGTCGACGGGCAGCTGCGAGTACGAGTCGAGGGTGACGCGCCACCGGCGGATGTGTGGGTCGCTGCTGGCGCTGACGAGGACAATCTCGTCGGGTGTGCTTAGCACGGGGTCGACGGCGAGGTGCTGCAGCGACATCATGGTGGTGGTCGGGTCCTGCAGGGTGTGCAGCTTGCGGCCCGAGTCGACGTCCCAGACGATGATCTTCTTGTCGGCGCCGCCGCTGACGAGGATCGGCTTGCCGCCGAGGCGGCCGCAGACGACGGCCTTGACGAAGTCCGAGTGCCCGTCGTACCGGCGGAGCGGGCGGCGCGTGGCGAGGTCCCAGGACCAGACCGTCTTGTCCCAGCTGCCGGCGAAGAGCACGTCGTCCGAGGCGCCGCCGGTCGCGAGGCACGTCACGGGGACCGACGGGCCCGTGTACTTTGCCGTGACGGTGCGTGTCTGGTGGCGTGTGAGCGAGCCCCCTCCCCCAGTGATCGGATGTGACCCTCAACCGCACCCGCGAGGATATGGTTGACAAGACGGAACAAGCTATCGTACCTCAGTGTCGACCCGGGAGACCCGCCCGCCCGACTCGGCGACCAAGACGGAAACGTGTGGCTTCTTGGGGTCCGGGATGACGGCCAGGAGCTTGGAGGGCATGCGCAGTGGGTTGCCAAAGGTGTTTGCCTCCTTCTTGGCCCGCAGCTGGCGCTTGGCCTGCTGCGCGCTGTGAATCCCGTCAGAGAATCCCCCGAATCATGAATGAATGTATAAGATACTCGGGAAAAGTTTGTTGGGGAAGGGGGGAAGGAGGTTCATATACTCACTCCGTCTCGAAGAAGTTCTCTTGGTTGGATGACTGCATCTTTGAAGGATGATCTATATCCGCCGGGAACTCTAAAAAAAATAAAAGAAAATACTTGTAACAAACGGTACCGGTGAAAGGGTTACGATTGAGGTGGTATATCCAGGGAGAACGGGAAGAACTGTTAGAAAATATATAATAGCCTTGCCCAATTGTCGTCGGTGCCTGTTCCCGAGAGCGTCGTTCCAGGGCCGCGCCCACTTTCACCCCGCGGACCTTCTATTTCTCATCAATTCTGATAATATGCCTACGATGGATTTCCGTGACCGTCTGCCGCCGGTCTCTTGCGGCTGACGCCAGGTGGGAGTTACCCCTGTGTCCCTTCGTGTGGCGGTACGTATCTGGAGGGGTTGAATCCCCCCTTGTCCCGCGTACCTACCTCACTGGCGTAAAGTGCCGATTTGCACAGCAAAAAAGTCGTTAATTGGATTTCCGCGACGCGTCCGAACGCGTCTTTCCCAACCGCCATCCCCGACGCCGTCCACCCCCTCCATCACCGCCTCACATAACCCGTCATTCTTCCAAATCACCAACGACCTGCCATCCAGAAGCCCTGTCCGCCGGATTCCACGAGACTCAATCGACGTCCCGCCTCCCTCCCACAATCAGGCCGGCCATCCCGACAAACCCCCTTCCCCCATGACCACAAAGTAAACACACCCCAAAACTACACAAAGATGGCCTCCTCCCTCGCCCCGAAACCGCGGCCGAGGCCGGCGCACACGACGGGCACGACCCGCCTCGCCTACACGCCCTCGGGCGCCCGCCTCGTCACCGTCGGCTCCAATAACACGATCCGCCTGTATCGCACCCACCACGACGGTGAGCCCTACAACATCGACGACTGCCCCGAGCAGAACTGCGCCGCCGCCGCCGCCGACGCCTTCTTCGTCGTCGGCTCCGAAGACGGCACTGTCAGCGTCTACTCGGTCGAGGACACGGCCTTTGAGCGCTTCCTCACCCGAACCTCCCTCCCCGTCCGCGACGTCGCCCTCTCCCCGGATGCCAAGTGGTGCGCCGTCGCTAGCGACGAGCTGACGGTCAAGGTTGTCGACACCCAGGACAACTCGCGCGTCCGCGTGCTCAAGGACCACGGCCGCCCGACCAAGCACCTCGCCTTCGACCCCAGGGGGGGCCTCCTCGCCCTCGCCTGCACCGACGGCGTTATCTACGTCTACTCCATGACGGCTGACACCCCCGAGCTGATTCGCAAGGTGGACGGCGTCATCGGCCCGCTTGAGTCCGACTCGGAGACATCGGCCCGCATCGTGTGGCACCCGGACGGCCGCGCCTTCGCCGTGCCGACCCCCATGCACGATGTTCAGGTCGTGTCTAAGAACGACTGGGAGAAGCAGCGGGCCTTCGCCAACGGCCACCTCGGCGACATTACGGCGCTCGCCTGGTCGCCCAACGGCGCTCTGCTGGCGACGGCCGCCAAGGACGGCAAGCTCCTCATTTGGGAGACCAAGACGCAGAGCGTCGTGCAAAAGTTCGACTACAGAAACGTCCTCGACCTTGCGTGGCACCCCAAGGACAACCTGTTGTCCTTCACCACCTCCGACGGTGAGGTCTACATCTACCCGAACCTTATCACGGAGCAGTTCGCCGCCCTCCTGCAGCTGCCCCGCCAGCCGGCGCCCTTCATCCACGACCCCCTGACCGAGAACTCCAACAACAAAAGCGCCCGCAGGCCGGACGCCAACGGCGCCAAGGCCTCGATACCCAGCCGGCCGCGGCGCGACTCGCTGGGCAGCCTCGATTCGTTCCTCAACGGCGAGGACGGCTACGACGATGGGGACGACTTCGTCGTCGACGACGACGGCGCGGGCTACGCGACGGGCACCAAGAGGCCGCTCGAGGGCGACGACGCCGGGCGCGCCAGCAAACGCCGCCTGCTCGAGCCGACGTTCCACGAGGCCTTCCAGCCCGGTTCGACGCCCTGGCGCGGCAACCGCAAGTACCTGTGCCTGAACCTCATCGGCGTCGTCTGGACCGTCGACCAGGATGGCCACAACACGGTGACGGTGGAGTTCTACGACCACGAGTTCCACCGCGACTTCCACTTCACCGACACGTTCCTCTACGACAAGGCCTGCCTGACGGAGCACGGCGCCCTGTTCGCTTGCCCGCCCCTCAACGGCGCGCCCGCCACCCTCTTCTACCGCCCGCACGAGACGTGGACGCAGCGCGCCGACTGGCGCACGGAGCTGCCCAAGGGAGAGGCCGTCGTCGCCATGTCGCTGAGCGACTCCTTCATCACCGTCACCACCACCGCCAACTACGTCCGCATCTACACCCTCTTCGGCGTCCCCTACCGCGTCTACCGCCCCAAGAGCACTCCCATGGTCACCTGCGCCAGCTGGCGCGACTACGTCATCACGATGGGCAACGGCGCTGTCGGCGCCGACGGCAACGCCCGCCTGCTCTACACTATCGAGAACGTCAAGCGGGACGAGATTTGCCAAAACGAAGATACCGTTGCACTGCCAGATGGCGCGACGTTGCAGAGCGTCTTCTTTTCGGATGTTGGCGTGAGTTTGACCCCCTCCTCACCCTCTCCCCTTTTATTTCGGCATTTTATCGTCACTCTCTCTTCATTTCGGATACAGTGTGCGGTTTTGTTTTGCTGACGACGGCCGGCTCAGGATCCTTGCATCTATGATTCGACGGGCACACTCCTCACGCTGCTCCACTGGCGGAAGCCCTCCCGCGCCTGCTGGGTTCCCCTCCTTGACACGAAGCTTCTGCCGCGTCTGGCATCGGGGAGGAAGAAGGAAACTTACTGGCCCATTGCGGTGGCCGACAACAAGTTCCACTGCATCATCCTCAAGGGCGGGGACCAATACCCCTATTTCCCCCGGCCTCTCCTGTCCGAGTTCGACTTCTCCGTGCCCCTCACCTCGGCGCCGGCACCGGACGTGGACTCTGCCGGGCAAGAAGAAGAAGAAGACGACGACGACGCAGGTCGCCGCGAATCGCGCAAGCTGGAACAGAAGCTCTTGCTGTCCGGCATCCACTCGGCCCAGCTGCGCGACCTCATCGACCACACCGACGCCACGCACTCGCAGCGTGCCGGCCTGGCGCGCCTCGAGCTCGACTTTGACAAGACGCTGCTCCAGATGCTGGCCATCGAGTGCCGCGAGGGCGAAGAGCGCGGCATGAGGGCGCTGGAGCTGGTGAACCTCATGCGCGACCGAACAGGCCGCATGGTCGAGGCGGCGGGCAAGGTCGCCGAGCGGTACGGGCGATCGATCCTGGGCGACAAGATCCGCGAGATCGGGGAGCGGAGAGTCAGTGGTATGGACGTCGACGACGGCGACTTTTAGACTTTGCTTGCTCCCCCCCCTCCCCCCCCTCCCTCCAATTCTCCCCTACCATCCTTCTGGTTGGAGTGCAGAGTACGGAGTACGGAGTAGATGAGGGGTGGGGAGGTCACACCCTCCCGTTGCTCGCCTGGCGGGCGGGAATTAGGTTTCATGGTTATTTGGATGGGTCCTTGCCGTCAGTATAAGGAAAAAGGCGTTTGGATGATGACACGATGGGGCAACATATGCCCGTCTTACCGGGTGCGTATGCGTTTGTGCGACAATGACTAAATACTGGGCGCTAGGGGTGTTTGGGGACGATCGTTGTTCTGGCTGTTTCTTCGCACATGTCTATAAAATCTAGCTTAGCACGGCCGGGTGAGCCAATGGAACGAATAATGCCATGGGAAGGATGCCCCCGTCGGTATTGTACCCGCGTGTGCCACGGACCACACTAGGTACAGAGATCTGGGGGCCGGGGGTTGAACCGTGGACCGTGGTAAGGGTGCGCTAATACGAGGAACCCTAAAAGGGTACGGTCCCGAAAAAACACCCCGTAGCAGAAAAAGCCGCGCAGCAGGGGCACAAGATTTCGATTGATCGGATTTGATGGGCAAAGTGATGATGATTCTGCAGAAACCGAAACTAATCAAGGTAGGTGTCTGTGTTGTTGATCGGAATTATCCGATTTGGTGATTGCGTCCACCAATTCCTTCCACATGTCCCCCCTCAAGACGGCGCCCCCGCCGACTCGTTGATCATGAAATACATAGGAAAAAAGCAATTTACTCAATGTGATGATTCCAATCCACCATTGTCGCCAAGTGCATTGATGTGATCAGTTGAACCGTCGACGCTTGGACGATGTAATTCGTCGGGCGTTGGTGATGTCTTCCTCCAAAGCTTCAAGATTGTCCTCAATGCAATCATCAATGCCTTTGGATACGTCCACTCCAAGGTCCATCAATTTCTCAAACGCCCATTCGAGCATCAATGTTTGTCTCAATTCCGATGGAATTCGCTCCAGGCTTCGATTGACTCGGTCCCAAATCGCATTTCGCTGACCGAGTCCGATGGCAGGATTTTCGTCCGATTCCTCGCTCTCTTCGAGATCATCTTCCTCGTTGACTGCAACCAGTAGCACCCATCAATCGTGAAGAACTCACATCCTATCTCCCCTTGGGTAACGTTAACGTTTGGCTCGGTGTTTCTCAGAGAAGCCAAGTTCAGTCTTAACCCCCTTCCTCGTATTGGATGGCGTAATATCAGACTACGAGATTGCATGGGGACCAAATTCGCGTCCTCCCGGCTCCGACACATCTCCGTCAAAACTATATTGGAGCTCCGAGTTGTCACCGACAAGGGGGTTGGGGACAGTAACCCGATTTGCTTACCAGCCGTAATCCGCAGGAGGACGGAAAGAGATCGCCAACGTGTTGGTTGCTGCCTTATGCCGCCGCGTAGTCTCTCCGCGATGGAGACGCGTACATGCCGTGGTTCTTTGCCGTGCGACGCGTTTCGTCTCGAGGGTTTGGGTTCAGCGTCTCTCGTAAGCCTCGAGGTGGGGCGAAGAGGACGGCCACCAGGCCACTACCTAGTGCATGGGTCCGACCGAGATAGCGTATACCCTCTTCCCCTGGGAGACAGACCATGCAGGGGGACATCGCGATGGCATTTCCCGTGTTGCAGAGATTGTGGTGAATACAAAAAAGCCCGGTAGACCACAGCTCGGGTTTCGGGCCACGGACTGGGAGAGTTGGACTATTGAATCTTCTGGACTCATAGCATCCCGTTCGAGATAGACGCCATTGCTGCTAGTTGGGAGCGATGTTGCGTCAAGATTTTGCTAGCCGTCCGTCTGCTTGATGTTATCGGTTACATCACACTGCCTGCAGAACGAGCATGAGACATTGATGTGCATGCTGGGCAAGGGGCGGAAGTAGGAAGAGCCACACCCGGAATGCGACGTGGCGGGCCTAAGATTTAAACCTCAACTGAACGTACATGGTGTACCTATTTGGGTTGGGTGCTTTCCCTTTTGCTTCGTATGTGCCATTCCGTCGATTCCGCTATTCCAAGCGCAGGCTCGCGATGCGAACCTGCTACAGACCCTGCAGCGGCGTCAAGGCGATTGCGCGCGTGAGAGAGAGACAGAGAGACAGAGAGAGAGAGAGAGAGCGAACAGCTGGATTTGATCAAGATGGACATTGCAAAACAAAACAAAAAATGCACAGTACCAGGTGCTTGTTCCGAGCTAAAAAGCGCCCCAAGGGGCATCCTGGAGTTGTCCCGGAGTGGGACTTCTAGAAGCTCATGGTTCACCTGAGATGAGCGTCAACGTCGCATTCTTCAGGGCTCTTCAGACACAGAGAACCAAACTGCGAAGAGGGGGACGGGGTCATTGGAGCGGAATGGCGTTACATCGGGGACGATGCATGAAGAAGACCAGGTCCTCAGTGAACGAATAGAGAGCCAACATACAGGGGGGCGTTGTCGGATCGTCGACGGCGTGGTGCGCGATCAACAATAACCTGCTGCAGCTTACATCTTGAGGCGTCTGTCGGTGGTGCTTGATGCAGGGCGTCTCATCGACCGCACGAAAATGCGAAGAACCGATGGTTCTGCTGAAACATTGGGACTGCAGTTCGTTCGCTCAGGCCACCATCCATCCACAATTTCCTTCGTCTTGGAAGAAGTCAAATTGCCGGTTTAGATAGCCTAGAACGATTCTTGGAACATGCCGCTGGGTGGACCGGAATCCACAGACTAGTGGCTGTGCGGCCCGAATTTCCATTTCTTTCTTCTTCTCTCTCCCAACATATCCTTCCCTTCGCAGACGAGCTTGCGACTGAAGTGAGGTTGAAGTTGCGGCGGCAGTGGCGTGGCTGTGTTCCGGATGCAAGTATCCGTAGACAGGTTTGCGACGAGGTCGACATTTCCGAGCTGAAATCTTACCCTAAACTTCAGTTATGAAGGGCACTCGGGGCTCAAAGACTGCGCCAAGCTACTGCCAAGCTACTGTCGTGACAACTTATTTTCGAGGCTGAACAAGATCCAGCATGCTTTGAGGCGAATGCTAGCTACGGCGTTCTTGGACTCGTCGCAGCTAGGCTGGAGCATGTGAATATCCTTTTTCTTTACAATCCAACATTGAAGATGACCCAGCAGCAACGTCGCCCATGACCGAAACACATGCCACACGGAGCGTCTGCTCATGCATGGTCGAAGATGAATGTTGTCAATGCTCAACCGTCGCGGGATTTGTGCGCGTTCCTCGAGATCGAACTCGTTGCAGGGCTTCATGCCCGCCTATCAGGCGTGTCTAGGTATGTAAAGGAATGCCGGATGAGGTAAAACGACAAGAGAGAGATATAGAAATAAAACAAAAAGGGTCGAAAAGCCGGCCTTCTGTTATTGGGGCCCTTCGGTAGCGTCTTCTGGAGCTCGAACGGACACATGCCGTAGTCTTGATTCTGACCCGGGGCAGGGGTTGCGGGGGAAAGTAAGGGCTCTTGCTTGACGCTTTGTCCCTCTACCAGAAGTAGGCTGGCTAACCCTTGTCGGCCCGGTCCATAGCTGCCCGCTGCCCCTTTTCCACAACGAAGACGACGAAGCAAGGAAGCTCCGGGCTAGTTGAGAGAGGCCTCTACTTGCATCGCGGTGTAGATACACCAGAAGAGGCTCGCTCTTGGAAGCGACGAGACTTCTTGTCTGAACCGGCACTCCTGCGTCGGATGTAAAAGTTTCTCATCTATTGCGACCAGCATGGTACCTCACACATGCGACTAGTAGCATCCAGCCAGGGCTTGCAAAGTGCAACCGCCGATCTCAGCTCGTTCAAGCAAGTGGCAAGTCATTTTGTCGGGGGGATTCCGCGCACGTCAACGAATACTCCTCAAAGCTGCTCCGAGAGAGGTTCGAGAAGACTCTGCGAGATGGGCATGGATTTCGGTACATGGCCCAGGCGCCGGCTGATCCTGTGCTTCCCCAAGCTTATTTGACTCATCGTGGGCGTGTCTCTTGCTTGTATAGTGGCGTGGACTGGTCATTGCGCACGGTATCAATGGGCTTGTCGTCAGCTGCGCGTAGGGGGTATTGGCGCGGAGAAGCGAAGCCGTTGAAACAGCAAGGCACCGTCTGGCCGGTTCGACTGTTGCATGACGATTCCTGGTTAAGAGAGTCTTTTTGAAGGGTCAGAAAGCAGCCCATCATTGGCTCGCAGCGGAAGCTCTCATGACACCATAGTAAGACCAAGGTAGCCAGTCCAGAGGTCCTGGGCTCCCAAAGCCTAACACACCTCCCTCCATGTCTGTTTAATGAGGAGATTGTCTCCGAATGCCACATGCCGAACTATTATCAGGAGGCGCACAGGCCACATACCTGTAATGAAGACAGGTATCGTACACGTCAGCTAGCCAGTCGGCTTCCAGAATGGTAATTCAGACTGACATGGTTGCATGATTGAGTGCTTGTTTTTGATGGTGTTGTTGGTTGACAATAGAAGGAGTTGTCCATCTCATTTAGGACTTCTGATCCCCCGTACGGACTTCGGTACAGCAGGCTAGAAGCAAATGGGGGGGCATCCGTAGGTAGGATTGTCTGGCAGCTCCGAGCATCTCAATGGAAGGAAGACGACGTTAAGGGGTGTGTGTTTGCGTGCATATATCCGTTCCCACGTACCCACACACCCTTCCTAGGCGCGGCCATATTTGGGACTATGGCAACTGGGGTTGGTCCGACAGGTAATCGATGTCGCAGATAGCAATTATGTCGTTTTGTGGACCGATTGGGGAAGCAATGTCGAGCTGCATGGCTAAGACAATGGGCCAGAGAAACGACAAGTTTGAGCAGCGTGTGCGCGTGATGGGAGAAGAAAGTACTAAAACGTATTCAAGATTGGATGGAGTGGTAAAGTCAGAGATGCAGAAAGAAAAGGTAGACATGATGTGCAACCGGCATCGTCGCGTGTCAGGGAGTAAAAGTCAGGAACAGATATATCTATTCCTTGGAGAGCGTAATGG